TTCGTTGAGATCTCCCGAACCTGGAGACACTTTGTCGCTTTACTGGGAACGTGCTCAAGGCCTGATTGAATGCGTCGGAAGCCAGCTCTTGCCACAAGAAAATAACGAAAGGTTCATTTGTACAATGGAAGCTAACCAGCAAGCCATAAATCCATCTGGTCTTCATCCCGAGCTAGTGCACGACACAGAACAGGCCAATATCGGAGGCCTTGCTGATGTCGGGATTGTCAGGGCAAACCATTCTGTGGCGCTCGGTGAAAAGTTTTAGTAAAAATAGTGATGCGCCCTATATGTTCCCAATTGAGCTAATGGCGCAAGAGAAGGAGAATGCTACTTTATTTCTTATTATTAACTAAAGCGGCCTGAGGCCACCAGTCTCAGGCTAGCAATGTCCATCACATGTAAAAAACACCAACTCTTTCGCGAAACAAATTTTTGAAATTCTGCCACTACCCCACGCCGGAAACGGCCCAAAATTTGCCTAGTTTCTCGTCGAACGAGAGCTATCTCCTGATACCAGCATCGACCTGGTAGGAGATGGCGCCGATCCAGTCGCTGCCCCAGCCCCTGCGGGCGCAGCCGACGCGTCCGGCGACACGGCAAGACTCCTTCAGAAACGCGTCCTAGACCTCAACCGCGAGGCGGCGAGCTTGCTGGAGCAGCACAGCTCGGGCACCTCGAAGCGTATGATCGAGTTCATCTAGAAGACCTGGGCGGTGACCGAGGCGCTCTCCTACTACCCCGTGGGGGACGCCTGGAAGGTCCAGATGGACAAGATCCAGCGGACGATCAACGACATCCGAACGGACACCAACGAGCTCACGGCCAGGACGGAGGACCCCCTGCGGACGTTCGCCAGAGCCGCGCGGGGGGCCCCTTCGCCCTGCTACTATCAGTCAAACCACAACTCCGCAAGCAGCGCCCCGGCGTGTCCGGCCGATCTCGACCGCGACCGCGCCCTCACCGTGAAGGTGGGTGATCCCGCCATGGCCCGGGACCTGCGCCGGCTCACGAACGAGGACCTAGTCAAGCGCGCTGAGAAACACCGCCGGCTGGCGGCTATCACGGCCGTCCGACCGACCCTGGCCTCTATCCAGTTCGTCGCGGCGAAAATTCTGCGGTCAGGTGACCCGCGGCTCTTCCTCCGCAACGCCAAGGAAGTGGAGATCGCGCGGACACACCGGGACACCTAGATCAAGGGATTCGGCACCGCCGCACGGGTCGCCCTCCCCTCGTGGGGGGTGGTGGTCGCCGCCGACATGCCCTGCCGGGTCCTGGGCCCGTTGACCGAGGAAGCGGACTGCAAGCGGATCGCGCAAGAACTCGTGGCCAACAACTGTCACGCGTGGGGTGAGTCCTGCAAGATCACGTACGTGGGCTGGCTCGTTCGCCCCTCCCCGGGTAAGAAACGGTCCTCGATTGTTATTGAATTTACCACGCCGTACCACGCGAACCGCGCCGTCAAGGCCGGGACCATCTGGGACTTCCAGGTCTCGGAGACCGTCCTGTACGACCGGGCGTCTCGCATTGTTCGCTGCAACAACTGCCACCGATACGGCCACATAGGAAATATCTGTCCGAACAAAACCGTCTGTGGCGCGTGCGCCGGCAAGCACTTGACCACCGCTTGCCGCGACCGTGACACCCCCAGGCTTGTACCGAAATGCGCCAACTGCGGTGGCGATTACATGGCCTGGCACAAGAAGTGAGGTATATATCCAGGAGTGGGAGAAGGCTCAGGGGCGCGCACTGCACCGGCCGCGCTTCCACCATACACCTGCCTACCTGCAGGACACGGACGTGGGTAGCGCTACGGGGTCAGCCGCACACCATATAGGCTCCAGCAGCGGGGAGCCAACGGAGACAGGAAGTGAGGACGCTGGGGGATCGTCCGAGGGTGCCAGAGACGCGCCGGACGACTCCGCCATGGAGGGACTGAGGTTCACCGGGAACACCCCTCCGCAGGGCGAACTATCTATTAACACCCTATCGACCTTGACCAGTATACCGACTATACCTCCCACTTTATCAACCACCGACGTCAGCCAAGATGCGCCATCCTCCGGCACCAAGGGGACTAGACGCAGCGCTAGACTTGTCCAGCAAATCGAGCGTGCCCAGGCACGCAACCCGGGATATATTTTCACCGGGACTCCAACTCAGACACCCCCAATCCAGATCGCTGAGCCCGAGGAAACGCCGCCGTGTAAGGGACTCTTCCGGCCCCGACACCGTCGCTGTAACCCGCGGCCGCACTCGATCTGACGCCACACGGAACACTGCCTCATCCCCTAATCATGAATAAACAGCTACAGATATTACAATATAACGTGAACCGATCCAGGGACACCGTGATGGCCCAGTTTCTCCGTGACCCCGAGGTGCTCAGAGCCGACATCATCGCTATTCAGGAGCCCTAGAAACACTTACTCTGACACGACACACCACCCGACATACGGGAGCCACCAGCTCCTCTACCTAACTGCCGATAACACCGGCAACCAAAGAGCCCGTGTAGCCCTTTATATTTCAAGAAAGATTAACCCTAGAACATGGAAATACACGGTACACTCCGCGGACTACCAAGAGCTCGAGCTACATCTACACAGCAGGAAGCTGCGGATTTTCACTATATATAATCCCGGGCCGTGGGACACGGACCGCACTGACATAGTAGATTTACTTGACCGCGTGGTGCCCTGCCGAGGGGATCACATCATCCTCGGCGATTTCAACCTCCACCACCCGGTATGGTCCGAACGGGACGCCCGCGACGACCCAACCTCAGCCGGCGAGACTACTACGACGAACGATGACACCGACGATACCAGCCGTGACCGACAGACCCGTACGGACCGAAGAGCCCCTGCGCTGCTGGAATTTACCGACTCCAGGCTACTGGATCTGTGGCTCAAGCCAGGCATGATAACCCGAGATCAGAACAACTATCGGTCTACGATTAACCTCGTCTTCGGAGTACAGAGCCTCGCAGATCAATTTATTGCCTGCAAAGTGGCTTCCATAGTCCACACGGACTCCGACCACCTACTAATCCGTATAATTTTTGACCTCGCGCCCCAGGCGTGCCAACCACCGAAACGAAGCCAGTGAAAGGCCATGGACGCAGCTAGGCTGCGCCAGTTTGTGGCCGACAACCTCAATATATATTCTCACTGGGACACACTGGGGACGAGCCCCTCGGCGACGGCGATTGGCGCGGCCGCGGACTTTCTTATGGAGATAGTCCAACGCGCGATCCAACACGCAGTCCCGTGGGCCCGTCCCAGTGCGTGGGCCAATCCAGACTTTACACCGGAATACAAGCGTGCGGTCAAGATAACCAGGAAGCTCCACAGGATCTATATCCGTCACCACCTACCCTCGGACTGGACCGCCTACGTCAAGCCCCGCAATCGAAAAGGTCGAATTATCAACCGGTCTCTACGACGGGGCTTTCGCCGCTGGGTCTCGGAGGCGATCAATTAGGGCCCGCAACCGGGGGAGCCGGGCCGCGAACATGATTCCAACTTTAAATGGACATCGCGGGCCGGCTGATACCACAGAGGCCAAAGCAGATGTCCTACACGAGTCGTTCTTCCCAGAGCCACCCCCAGCCGACCTGACCGACATCGAGGGGCGTTCCCAACCACCGCAGATCGACTTTCCGGAGATTACCGAAGCAGAGGTGGCCAAGGCCATTCGACGGGCACCGCCAGACAAGGCACCCGGGCCGGACGCGGTCCCGAATAAGGTCTGGCATAAGCTGCTGAACGTCCTGGTCTTTCTCAACCGGGTCACGGCCTTGTTCAACGCGAGTCTCAAAGTAGGGCACAATCCAGACACTTCCAGACCTCCACACGGTAGCCCTGCGTAAGGGCGGCCCGCGAGACTACCGCAAACCCAAATCCTACCGACCAGTTGCCCTACTTAATACTCTGGGTAAGACTCTTGAATCGGTTATCGCCGCTCGCATGGCCTGGACTCTGGAGGAACACCGATTACTTCCGCGAACCCATCTCGGAGGCAGAAAGGGGATATCAACAGACCACGCCATCCAGCTGATCCTCGAATATATATATCAAGCATGGGGTCGAGGTAAGAAGGTAAGTATGGTCCTACTTGACATATCCGGTGCCTTTGACAACGTGTCCCACGCCCGGCTACTTTTCAACCTCCACCAGCTCAGGCTGGGCCACTTCGCGGGCTGGTTACAGTCCTTTCTAACAGGCAGGGCAGGACAACCAGGATCTCGCTTGCAGGGGAGCTCAGCGCGGAGTTCCCTACCCCGACAGGCATCCAGCAGGGCTCGCCGCTGTCTCCGATTCTGTACCTAATCTACAACACTCCGCTGATCCAAGATCTCCATGTACGGCGACCCCAAGGCGGCTCAACAACGGCCTTCGGCTGGATCGACGATGCGTGCACCCTGTCCGTGTCGGATACCTACACGGAGAATATTGAGACGCTGAACACAGCTCTACCCAGAGCAGGCTGCTGGGCTAGTCGACACGCATCTAAGTTCGCACCAGATAAATTTAAGCTCATCCATTTTACCAACCCGCGGAAGCCGGACACGCCGCCCCAATCCCCGGGCCTTCCACCAGGCCACCCGGACCAGATATGGGAAGTGCCGCTGCCGCCAGCTGGCCACGACCAGATGGAAATCACCTTCGCAGACACGACTATTAGACCGACGGAGACAGCCAAATACCTAGGCGTGTGGCTGGACAAGACTCTGTCTTTTACCACGCACCGCACCAAGGCCCTGGCCAAAGCGCACAGCACGCTGACGGCTCTCAAGGGAATCGCAGGATCTACATGGGGCGCTCCTTTGCGTGCCATGCACCGGATCTACCAGGCGGCAGTGGTTCCCCAGCTGTTCTACGCGGCCGCGGCCTGCTATAGCCCCAGAGGCGGCCAGGTTATGGCCTCGGCGAACCAAGGAATGCTGGCGGAATTCGCCCAGATTCAGAAGCAGGCGGCGCTACTAATTAGTGGGGCCCTCCGAGGCACGGCCGCAGCAGCCCTAAACGTGGAATTATATATATTACCAGTACAACTCCAGTTACAACAGATCATCGAAGAAACGGCGGTCAGAATCCGGACAGGACCGGAACTGGCCTTTCCAGTATCAGTACTCAAGTCGCGCACAGCGCAGGAGCGCCGGCGCAGCGGCTGGACACCAATAGAGGCACTGAGTTAAAAAGGGGGCCCGCTGTGGCCGCTGGGTAAGAAGAAGTGGGAGACCCGCGAGCCATATATTTTGGCTCCGTGGGAGACGCCTGTCGTGGTTGTGATTGACAGCCACGAAGCCGTAATAGAATACTATAGGCAGTACTGCGCCAGGCGAGAGGGGATTGCAGTCTACACAGATAGGAGCGGCCTAAATAGCTAAATTGGAGCCAGCACCGTCTGCCTCTCGCAGAGCTGGATACAGAACGGTACGCTGGGGACGGAAGCAGAATCGACGGTCTACGCAGGGAGCTGACTGGAATCCAGACAGCCCTACACACGCTGCGGAAAGAGAACAGACCAGCCGCGATTTTTATAGACAGCCAAGCCGCGATCCAGGCAGTCCAAAACCCGCGGAGACCGTCCGGCCAATATATATTAGACCAGATCTACTATATCGTACGGCGATATAAGATGCAAGACCGGGTCCAGATCCACTGGATTCCGGCACATGTCGGCGTGCCAGGGAATGAGGCAGCCGATAAAGCCGCACGAGAAGGCACGCAGCGAACTGGTGAAGCTGCCTGTCTAGCTGCGGCAGCTAAACGACAGATACGACACCGTATCAAAGACAGATAGACACGGGAGTGGAAAACGGAGAGGTCAGGCCGCATAACTTATAGATTAGTAGAGACTCTAAATAAGAAGATACTGGATCTCTACGGGAACCTATCAAAACCGTACGTAGCAATCATTATTTAGATACATACCTAGAGAAATAGATTATAGCACTTTCTAAAATCAACGCGGTAGACTCGGACCAGTGCCACTGTACGCTGGGATCCCAGACGTCGAGGCATATTCTGCTACAATGCCCATTATACGCTGAACTCAGGGGTATAATACTCAGCAAATTGGACCCGGAGGTCCGAGGAAGGATGGATTACAACGGGATCATGTCCCATCCGCAGGCGATTCGCTACGTCGCTGAATTCATGCACCAGACAGGATTGCTTAGCCA